AGACGTTGCATGTTGAGTGAATGATGCCGGCTATAGAGCTTATCTGTCTTACAGTTTAAGTCTGGATTAGAGCTGTGGATTTTCACTGAGGTCTAAAATGGTAAATAAAAGCAAATATTTGCAAATGGTTGAATTTTCCCATTTTAAATAGAGTAAAATCATCCAAAAATAAATTCTGGGTAAGAGCCAGGAGAGCTGAGAACTGTGGGAAGTGTAGTTGGGATAATATTTCACCTTGCAGCCAGTGCGTCACTCTGTCGTATTAGACTAGTAGATAGTGGGCATGTTTAATGGATTAGCCTCTTTATTAGTGACAAGCAGAGATGGATGAACTACAAGACGTAAGGACAATGAGAGGCCATTAAAAATAGATAGCAGTGATGGGCTGCCAGGGCTTGAATAGGATCCGGGAGGGAGAACAATACTTTCTTACAGTCTGAGAGCCAGTCTTTTACTTTCACTGGCTGTGTTTTTCTCTCCCTTTTCTCCAAATGCAACTCACCTGTGTTGCCAGCTGGATGGGTTAATTGTGCATTTTCAATCACCTTTTCTCTCCAGCATTTCCTGACTGACAGTTGACGAGCTCAGAAAATTGTCTTCTCCCCTCATTCAGAGACAGAATTTATCAGAATCTTGCTGCTCTAGCTGCTGAAAACAAAACAGCATTAAACAATGGTCATTATCACCCACCACTTCCTTGGCCTGGTTATTCTCGGCTCAGAGATGTGCAAGTTGCTGCCGGCACTGTCAGTACAGATCAAAACCAAATTTATTTTTCCCCCTAAAGATTACAAACTTCATTTGTGGCTTGAGGAAACGCCCACACAGATGCTGAATCTGCTCAACTTCTCCCAGATTACAGACGCCCCCACAAGAAACTTGTGTATTTCTATTTCGTTTTCTCATCCCTTTCTGTTTACTTGACTCCCAATTTGCATAAAGCTACACTTGGTGCATGGTCTCGGAGATATATTGTGAAGATTTTTTTTTAATAGGCATCGAAAGACTAAAAATATCCAAGCTTCAAACCCATCATTTTACAGGTAGGTTACTTCATATCTTCCCACAACACAACACCACTTAAAACAATTAGTCTTGACTGCCATGCTAATTTGGAGTTGAGGGTGCTGAGAGGTACAAAAAACAAAAAAAAGCTTCAAAATGATATATTGTTGTTGGTAGGGATTCCAGCTCCTGGGTAAATCTATATAACCTGAGTGCCATAGTTGGATCTATCCTCGAGCTCCACATAAATCACAGTGACAAAAAAAAGAACAATTTCACCTCATAATTCAGTAAAACTCAGACCCTTGTTCCTCTTGGTAAAACAACTCCTGTTTACTTTAAAATAAACAGAATCAACTAAAAGCACAAGCATAAAGCTGTGGGTGTTTTATAACAGACAAATTATTTTAATACATTACATAAAGACCATATTCAGCAGTGATGGATCTTCCTGTAGGCCAGGGTTCTTCAACGTTTTTCAGGCCGAGGATCCCTTAGGTCAAAGAGAGATAGAGCAGGGACTCCCTACACACATAGTTGCACTTGAGATAATTCTCTGAATATTTTTGGGTCTTCGCTCATTTGCCCATGCCTGTAGCTGCTAAGCTAGCACTAGTTGTAGCAAGGCTAAGTACGTTAGCCTCACCCTCTGCACTGTCATTGGTGATTTTCTTCCTCATAAAGTTACATAATGATCCATTGTGGCTCACAAGAATGTCGTAGACTTGAAATAATAATGCAGCCAATTGGCTAATATTTATTTATTTATTTAATTTATTTAACAGGGACAGTACACAGCTACTTAGCTGCGTCAGAGTTAGCTATAAGCTAATTTTCTTCTGTAGTCCCTGGGCAGGAAACAGAGAATAATTTATCTTCTAAAAGACACAATTATATAAAAAAATACAGTGACAAAATAGAACATATTCATGGCACAACGGCTTCAGTTTCAGTAGTATGTAAATGTTAGCTAACTAGTTTACCTTGCCCTTATGGACAAGTGCCACACACGGATTCAGCGTTAGCTAGCTCACATGATTGCTCAAGGATTAATGGCTAACAGTTAGCTTATCATTAATGTTATGTACTGTCAAAATAAATATGTTTTCTTATGAACAGGCTGATTTATCTTTGCTAATAATGTTTTGAATTCATGTCAATGTGTATTTCCAGACATATTTTAATTATTGGGGGGGAAAAATAAAACTTAGATTTATAATTAAGCTGCTAAGTTAGCAGCAATTGTAGCAAGGCTAAGTATGCTAGCCTCACCCTCTGCACTTTCATAGGTGGTTTCTATGGGGAACGATGTTTCAAAACAATCCACTGTGGCTCACAAGAATGTCTACACTTGGAATAATAATGCAGCCAATATGTTTCAGTAGTATGTAAATGTTAGCTAACGATTTCACCTTGCCCTTATGGACAGGTGCCGCACAGGAATTTATTGTTAGCTAGCTCATGTGATTGCGCAAGGATTTATGGGTAACAGCTTATCATTAATGTGGTGTACTGTGTTAATTAAATGGGTTTTCTTATGAATAGGTTGATTTATCTTTGCTAATATTGTGTTGAATTCATGTTAATGTGTATTTTCATACACATTTTAATTATTGGGGGGAAAAAATAATTTAATTTAAATTTAAACATAAATAAAAATGACTGTAGCTGCTAAATTAGCAGCAGTTGTAGCAAGGCTAGGTGTGTTAGCCTCACCCTCGGTGCATTCAGTGGTGATTTCTGAGGTGGACGCTGTGTCAGAGTCTCTTGCTGTTTAAGATGCAAAACCTTTGATTGTAGCTTACAAGGATGTCGTACACTTGGAATAATAATGCAGCCAGTGTCTCAGTGGTATGTAAATGTTAGGCCGAATTATCTTTGTTGACAATATGTTGAATTCATTCATTCATTAGTTTTACATAGCCGCTTATCCTGTTAGGTGTTGCGGAGGGGCTGGAGCCTATCCCAGCTGACACTGGGCGAGAGGTGGGTTCAGCCTGGACGGGTCGCCAGACCACAACAGGGCTGACACATAGAGATAGTCTTTGAACTGTGGGAGGAAGCCGGAGTACCTGGAGAAAACCCATGCTGACATGGGAAGAACATGCAAACTCCGCATAGAGGGGCTCCCCCACCCCAGAATTCAAATTCCCCGCCCAGGGTTCAAACCAGAAACCCTATTGCTGTGAGGCCACAACGCTAACCACTGCACTATGCAGCCATGTTGAATTCATGTAAATGTGTCTTTTCTGACATATTTTAATAATTGCAAAAAAAATTAAATAAAACTTAAATTCAAATTTATCGGCGACATAAATGGCCACCTTGGGCACCACCAAGCAGCCAAAAACTGCAGTTCCTATAATGGCCACTTGAGGCTGGCTCCAGAAGTGAGTCAATCCCCATAGACCCCCATGTTAAAATGCCTAACAGAAGTTTACAGCCTGGTATAAAAAAAACAAAACAGTTTTGGTCTCTATAGCTAAGATGATGACGGCTGAAATGCTGAACTTGAGGCTTCAAAACAGGAGGTGATGTCACGCCACCCAGAAAAAGATGGTGCAGCGACAAAATCCCTATCACCCCAAGAGACTTGTTTTGACTTTTAATCAACAACAACAACAAAAAAATATAGAATTTTGAAAAACTGAACATAGGGCGCAGTACAAAAAAGCAGGAAGACAAAATTTGCAAATTGGTACATAAGGTATTCTTTTGTTTATTTATCATTATTTTTTTGTTTGTTTGTGTTTGTTTGTGTGTCTCATTAGCTTGTCTGAAATAAATATACTTATCATTATTAAAATTTTTAGGGGGATGGGGGGCTTGTCTAGGGCACCAAATGTGCTTGGTCCAGCATTGATACTTCCTGATTCAAATAATAGGACATCTCAAAAACCCCCCACTACTTATCAGGTTTCTTAATATAGTTTCCAATAATTAATATTTAATGACTGTTACATCGATTAAATTAATAGTCAGATCATCTTTCCCCCGATTACTGTAAATTCTAATGAGATTACTGTTGACAGAACTCATTAACAATGTACATGATATGATAAGCAGTTGTCCCCGTTACTTGACGATCCGGAGGTATTTCCCTATCGGCTAAGCCGTGTTGTTTGCTTGGGTCAAAGTGAGTTAAGACATGACTTAACTTTGGTGTGTTTAGCATCAAGTCCTCATGAAAAACATCTCCAGGCTTATCCTTTTAATCCGCTCTTAGCGGCTTTTATCCCGGAGCCTTAATTCTCTCATGAGGATACTGTAGGGGCTGGGAGGGCAACAGTGACCAGCTCCATCCAGCAGAGACAAGTTTGAAACAACAATACTCTAGGAACAGTATTTTTAGGGCTACAGTCCGTCCTCATGCGGCTCCTTCACTTCACAAAGTAGAATCTCAATTTCTTCCCGCTACACACACACACACACACACACACACACCTTCACAACGTCCCTTGAGACAGACTCCCATGACAAAACACAATAGCAAACACAGTCCAAGTGAATACAATAGGCGGCATTGACCGGCACGCAGGTAATCCATCTTTCCTTGATTTGCAGACATGCACACAAAAGCCATGCGTTGATAGTGGCACTATGGGGTGTAATGGTGCTGTCAGCTGCTCCGAAAGCATCCTCCCCCCCCCCCCCCTCCTCCGCTCTCACTCCCTCTCCCTCCCTATACCCCCACCACAGATGAAAACAGGTCCCCACAGAGGATGCCAGCATCTCATTGGCTGGGATATCNAATGGTGCGGTCAGCTGCTCCGAAAGCATCCTCCCCCCCCCTCCGACCCCCCCCCCCCCCCCCCCCCCCTCCTCCGCTCTCACTCCCTCTCCCTCCCTATACCCCCACCACAGATGAAAACAGGTCCCCACAGAGGATGCCAGCATCTCATTGGCTGGGATATCACAGGAGTGGATGGGGAGCAGGAGCGAGGGAGAGACAGAGAGAGAGCTCAAGAAGATGCAACTACTCTGGCTCAGCATCCTGACAGAGCACTGAGCTGAGGGATGCAAGAGGTGTAGACACATGTCATTTTTGTCTTACAGATTCTCAGTCGTCCTATAGATGGGAAGCGCTGTGGACTTGCAGGATAACTTCCTCCATGCTGCTGCTGCTGCTGGAATGATCTCTCCGGCTGAAAGACAAGCAACAGCTGGGCTGACTGATCTGAAGCTCTTTGGATCTCAGCGTCACCTGGACTTGATCCCTCCTTGTTGACCGAGCAGCTTCTGGTGATCGCTGCTCTTCATTTTTACATATTTTGGTGTCACACACCTGAATCTCTGCACTGTTGGCGTGAGCTATTTTAGTCTGCCCAGACTGCACTGAGGTGTCGCTTGGAGAAGGGTGGACAATTTTACTGTAAATGTGTGTCTCTGCGACCGGCGCCGGACTGTCACCCTCAAAGTCTCCCACACCTGCTGAGAGCCCCTGGAAGCCACCTGCTGTGCCTCTGGGATGGTGTGACGTCCAACCAGCTGTTGGCCGTCCCACATCTGGGTCAAGATGCCAGTGATGAAGGGCCTCCTGGCCCCGCAGAACACCTTTCTGGACACCATCGCTACACGCTTTGATGGCACCCGTAAGTACAATAGAAAAACTCTGAGGACGAGCTGCTTTGGCACTTGTAGTTTGACTTTTCAAAATGAGTTAAAATCGGGTGGCCTAGTGGTTTAAGTTGCTGTACATGTAACTGCAACATCCCAGGTTTGAGTCCTGCTACTCCGCTGTGTCCCCTCATTTCCTGTGAGTTCTCTGTATCCTAGAAAATAAGTAAAAACAAAATGATTAAAGGTCTTTAGGCAGTGAAAGGATGGCTGTCATCACAGGGAATAAGACTTGCAGGTTGAAGCTGAGTGTTTTCTCAGTGAGAAAGCAGCTGGCAAAAAAAAAGGTTCCCATGGTCATGACATTCCTGGAAAAGTTATGAAATTTGTGTTTTCCAAGCCTGGAAATGGTTTTAATATGTATTGTTTGGGTATAAAAACATGTCTAAGGTGTGACCATTGAAAACTGACTTGAATCACGTGAAACATTTTTGTCATATGCAGCTAGTTAGCAGACGCTAGCAGCTTGCTAGTATTCAAATGCCTGAGAAGTGCGTGTTTAATAATGTATGGCTATCAAACGACAAATATAATACATGACTTGAGAGGCAGAACCCAGTCACGCTGGATGTGAACTCTTCACCAAAGTGTTGGTAACATGGTGGAAGCAGCTCTGGCGAGTTATGCGAAAAGGAAAAAGCATCAAGATAGCCAAAAGGCTGCTCAACAGGCTGCCAGCGTCAGCGCAAATGTCATGCCTGCCGTAGCCAGGCCAGGTGACATTACGTCTTTGTGGCTTATGTGTAGACACAAAGGCATTTTATTTCGTATTTAATGCTACATTTGTGCTTCACACTGGAATAAGAGCCTCATTTTTGCACACTATGATATCCTAACTATTTTAAACTACTTGAATAAAGTCAAGGAAAAGGGTTAAATATGAAAAAGTTGTGAATGAATTTCCAGCTTGAGCCTGAATCCGAGCATCTGTTCTGTGGTCAGTCCCTGGTGCTCTGTATCTGAACACCGACCACCACCAACTGCCTGCCTGAAGCCACATCTGCTGCCAGCTGCAGTGGGATGTACAAAAAGATTTTGTTTGCACTTTTACAGTAAAGCACAAGCACAAAAATCGACCTTCAGAAATCATGTTGTCTTTTCACATTTGTTTCACACAGTTAGCTCCCAACTAGCCACTGCAGCCATTAGGCAGCGCTGCCATTTCTGCTTGACTTGTGTCTCTTTTTTTGTACCTTGTGCCACCTCAGGGGAGGTCGTGGCTCATTGTAAACAAATACCATGGGGATGTCTGTGTTTTGTTCGCTCGTCGATTCAACCTGCCCTCTCCCTGCTAATCGTGGCGGCCTGAACGAATCCCTGGCTCGCAGTTATTCTCTCCGAGCTGGTTTCGACTTGGGGAAATAAACACAGTGAAATTGGTGACATTACTGTGTAATTGATGTGTAGGGTATGCAATTATAGCTTTGAATTGTGAGTCAGGCATTCTAATGAGGTGTTAGAGGAGCTCTCAGGAGCTTAAAACACACCGACACGTTGCTCATCAGGAGCTGTTCTCATATCTCAGCAGTGGCTGGAGTTTAAAACAGATGAAAAGACATTGAATCTAGAGATGACGTGGGTAGTGCACAGTTCAGCTGGAGGAGCAGGGGTCATGCCCTCATGTTGCATCAGCCCTGCTGAAGAGTCCTTGAGCTAAACATGGACTCCCTGTCGACTCCACAGGGCTGCTCTCTGGCTGAACCTCATGTCTGACCTCCGAGAGTGAGGGAGCATGAGGGAAGAGAACACTTCACTTTAGGGCTCACTGGGCTGCAGGCAGCGAAGTTCTCCTAAATTTCTCTTGTAGTCTCTCCTAATTTTCTGATAGGAGAAAAAATTAGAAAAGTCCAGATGCACCAAACAATTTTAACCACCCAAACCTGCTCTTACCCAGGTGTTCTAAATGATGAATCCTGCTTGATCATAACTAAATTATTACCACAGGTAACGCCCCCTAAATTTTATTTAAGAGCAGGTGTTGTTCTGCAGTAGTGAAATGAATATATTGTTAAATAAACTTAAAGGTCCAGTGTGCAGGATTTAAGGGGATTTAGTGCCAGAAATTGAATATAATATTATATAATAAGCATGTTTTCTTTAGTGCATAATCACAGATTATATCTACATAGGGAGCAGGTCCTTATCCACATAGTCCGCCATATTGCACTGCTGTATTTCTACAGTAGCCCAGAATGGACAAACCAAACACTGTAGTTAGCAACCCCTCTGCAATGAGCCGAGCATTGTTGGAAAAACACTGATTTTTAAAGTAAATATGTGCTAACGAGTGTTTTTATCAGTTTAAATCAACGGGTCCATTTGTTGTGGAGAGGAGGAGACCTCTGTAAAAAACCTCTTGAACAATGAACACTGAGGGAATTCTAGCTGGGAGAAGTTTCAGCTGGTTACAATCTGCAGTCCTCACTGCTAGATGCCACTAAACCCCCATAAATCTTACATCTCATCCCCCCTAAATCTTGATTTCAGAGCCTCAGCACTTTTGTAACAGAAGCATTAAAACCCAACAATGGCAAAACATTTGTGATGCTGTAAATGGTGGAGTGGTGTAGGAAGCATTCAGACCCTTTAGTAAAAGTCCTGCAAAATGTTACTTAATACAAGTATGCAGATACAATCAGTATAAAAAGGAAAGGTGCTCAATGCAGAAGAAATTGAAACAGTTTAAAAAATCGAAATATTTAAAATGAAAAAGCAGCAAGTCCTCACATTTGAGACGCTGGAAGCATAAATACGACAATCATGAAAATGATTATCAAAATAGTTGACAGCCAATTCATTTTCTAATCAATCAACTAATACTTTGGCAACCTGAAACAGCTCAGCAGCCATTCACCTGACTCATCAGACCGTTTTGTGGGATCTCTAAAAACACATTCTCTGTGTACTGTAAGGCCTGGATGGCCAAAGCATCTAAAAACAATATGTAAGCCATTCAGAAGCTGAATGCACACAGTATCATCCAAGGGCGTTTATAGTCTTAATTGAGATCATTGTATTTCTGTAGCCCACCAATTTAATAATCCAATCAGTATATAGGCTATATATACACTCTAAAACATATAATAATCTAATTTTGATTACATTTTCTTATTATTATTTTTTATATAATGTTCCTTAAATTTAAAACTTGTTTCTTTGTGTTGGACAAACAAATGTTTTTTCTCTTATCTTGGTAAACTTAACTAAGAGAAGACAGGGTGTAGGTCCTTAAAAAGTCCTAAGATGTCCTTTTTTTAATATTAGGCCATAAACAAGTAATTCAATTGTCTTAAATTTGAATTTCTGAGGTCTTAATTGCCACAAACATTTTATCTAATTTCATTTATCCATCTTTTAATTTCTTTTTGTCCAAATGAGTGAATCTCTTCTGCTTGAAAGTCCACATTTCTGATACTTACCTGCAATGCTTGACTACGAAAAAGATGATTTGTCTAAATATCACTCTTAAATTTGGTTAAAAGTAACTTAAAAAGGTCTTAAACTGCTTTAAATTTAAGAGTCTGATACCTGCAGACACCCTAGAAGAGCAAAAATCAGAAAACCCTGGTGAAATCCAGAAATTAATGGGAACTAACAAATTAAGCACAAACCATGGATACAAACAAAAATAAGAGAAAATTTGTTCCTATATCTCTTACTGTGTGAGGCCTAATGTCTTTTCTAATGTGTAACATTAGAGGTGTCACAGGACTCTTCCTCTGCCACGTGTGGTTGTATTTCAGCCCTCACCATCAACAGTCCTGCAGCACTGTCGTAGCTCTGGACAGCTGAGCCCACATCCACCACTTTTTCAAATTTTACACTGCTACAAACTTTCATATTTTCAATATTCACAGCGACCACTTGATATCTGCTCTACCTCAGAGGAGCAGAGTGTTTCTTCTTTCTCCTGCCTGCTTTTGGATAAGTAACCAAGTAACTGCTGAGATGAAAACGTGTCAGGAGCAGCAGGATACATCTCCGTGCTCCTACACTTCCAAGCCAAAGGCTACCATAAGGCTGTGGCGCCTAGAGGAGTGGCCATGACTCAAAATAGCTTCCTTCCTGTTGCCGGGGCGACAGGGTCCCGCTACTTGACATGAATGATGCTTGAACACTTTGGTCTTTGAGAAAAAGATGGTCCACTAAAGAGAAAACACTTGAACTTGCTTACCAATCAAGGACTTTGAGAGTCCAGCTGGTCTCTTGTTTCGGAAAGGCGCATCTGAAAACAAGTGGCATTGTGGGTCGTGCAGCTGCGATCGCTTGTTAGTGTCACCTCAAACTGCCTTTAACCTGCTGGTTTTTGACTTTCCTTAAAAACAACTTGGCTCTGTACACAGTCCTAAAACTTCAATAAGATGCAGTATTTGTTAAATGTCCCTTTAGTCAGAAATGTGTTTTGTGTTTTGTGTCTTGTTCTTCTTCTTCTTCGATGTTTGAGCCTCACTGTGCAGAACACGACACAAGCAGATTGTGTTTACGTTCATGATCTGTGACACACACAAACTAATTTGGAATTCAATCATGCTTCAGTATACAACAAACATAACTGTTGTGTTTTATTAAAAAACAATATGAAACTAATAATTCCTCAGAGTATTCTTAAATGCAGTGGTGGAATGTAACTTAAGACATTTACTCAAGTACTGCCTTAAGTACAGTTTCATGTACTTGTACTTGTGTATTTCAATTTTATACATGCTTTTTAATTTCTACATTATATTTTTGAGGTAAATGTTGAACTTTCTACTCCAATACATTTATTTATGAGCTTTAGTTACTTTGCAGATTTAAATTATTTATACAAAATATAAAATAAAGTGTTAATATAATAGGTTGAGCCACCCAGCAGTATATAAAGTAATTAAAATGAGCTCCATCTTAACCAGCTACAACATTAAAGTGAAGATATCAGCGCCTCAATGATCATAATCCAGTAATCTCTGAAATTGGCCCATCTGCACAATACTTT